TTGTTAACCATTGTCATAGGGCAACATGGGTACTGTTCAATGAGAAACTATTTTGTTCTGTAAACCTTCACCTAAAGTGAGAATAGCAGCACAACTGGAACAGCATAGTCAATGTCACTGAACTGTGCATGTAGAAATTTTTGAAATGGTGTATCTCTGGCTATGTATATTGTCACCAAAAAAAAAAAAGGTCCAGAAGGGAGAAGGTTGACATGTCGTGGGGTTGTTAACCAATGTCATAAAACAATATGAGTACTACTGTTCCGTGAGAAACTGTTTGTTCTGTAAACCTTCACATGAAGTACAATAAAAAAAAATAAAAAAAATAAAAAAAAGATGTGAAGGCAACCACTTCATTAAAGTAAACAACCTAGTTCAGAGCCCAAGTCATACCTTGAGGTATAAAAGGTCACGGCTTGTAAACTGGTCCAACTGACGTTTATAGGTTGGACCTTCCGCTCAAACAGCACTCAGAAGCCCTCAGTCTGCATACAAACACTGGACCCTTTGTTCTTCCTCTTCATGGCCTTTAATTGCCTCTAAGAGGAATCTTGATTCTTCCTTTTTTATTTTTTTAGGAAAAAAAAAAGGAAAACCTACTCCAAATTCTTGGCCTGCTCAGACCTCTGACCTCATGGCAACTCTCCTGGCTGAAGAGACCGTTTCTACTCTCCAAGACTAGCTCAACAAGGCCCTTGTGAGTCACTGAGGATTGTGAGTTGCCTAAAGCCTGGCTATTCAAAGTGTCCGCAGAACAGCAGCACCAGCATCTCCTGGGAGCTGGTTATAAATGCAGAATCTCAGGTCCTTCCCAAACCTACTGAGTCAATCTGCATTTTAACCAGACCCCCAGGTAACTCGTGAGCCCATTAACATTTGAGCAACATATGTAAAATCTACTATTAAAATCTACTACTGAAGTGGGAGGAGTCTGTGAAAAAATAACTCTGTCCTGATTTCCCCAAATCTCTGAAAGATGTTGAGCTTTCTAGAGAGTTAAAATTTACCCAGGGAATAGATAAGGTGTTACTGGAATGTAACTGGAATGGTGTGCTGGAATGAACAAAGGTGTTAATACACTCAGTCTCAGATTATGTGTTTACAGAAGGCATCCAAGCGCCCCATGGAGACTCTCTACCATTACCTCAAAATGCACTGGAATTGTTGGGAACATGCTTGGCGGTCACTGGTTGGAGCTGACTCCATTTCTTAGGCTGTGAGATGGACTTAAGAGTCTATCTTGTGGCACACAACCAATCACAAAAACAACCTAAGGATTGCCTCTCTTTCAGAAGCAGATATTCTTAGCACTTAGCTACAGAGAATTCAGAGACCAAAGTTCAGCGTTATGGGTTGAAACCCAGGCTACTAACATGATAAGGCTCCATTAGCCATCACACTGGATTGATTTTTACGTTTACAAAAGTACGTAAGGCCCCACAGCTTTCTGGGTCCTACATATGGCCTGTCGTTAACTGGACTTCGCCAGTGGCTAAGAATGGTAGCAAATGCTATGTATGCCCTGTCTATCTTCCTCCAACCAGCCTGACCATTCTTTGTCCAACAGCTTTTTTTTTTTTTTTGTGACTGTGGGAACATACTCAGTAGGAGATAGCCTACAGTCACCACGAATGGAAATTGGTGGATAAATACCCCAGCTTCCTCACCCTGCACTCATGTCTACACTGGCTCCCAGAGCTTCCAGTGGGTTTGAGCTCCAGTTGTCCACTGTGGTTATCTACTTGACAGCACACCGGTTTTTTTTTCTTTGTCTCCATTCCCTGCTCACCTAACAGTGCTTCCTGGGATCATCTCCTAAATAGACTTTCACTTCAATCCTCATCTCAAGGTCTGCTCCTGGGAGGAACCAACCAAGACAAAAGCAACAGACTTGGGTTTAAATTTTTACTCCCCTCATTTGCTCTCTACGTGCTGTTCCAAAAACCAAAAGCCCGTTGCCGTTGAGTTGATTCCGACTCATAGCGACTCTATAGGACAGAGTAGAACTGCCTCATAGAGTTTCCAAGGAGTGCCTGGTGGATTTGAACTGCCAATCTTTTGGTTAACAGCCATAGCTCTTAACTACTTCACCACCGGGGTTTCCTTAGGCAAGTCATTTAATCCCTTTAGGGATCAGTTTTCTCATTAATAAGATGGGGATGATCATGAGAACTATGCATTCCAGTTGTTGTTAAAATTAAATTAATTATGTAAAGGGCTTAACATAGTGCCTGGCACCAATAAAGCTGAATAAATGATGGTTATGAAAACACTTATTGTCCACACTTCCTATCCAGAAGGAGCTAATCCATGGTCACAAAGGATTCTGGTGCCCTGTTTTGAATTTAGCATTGCTGAAAGTGTTCTTCTGAGTCTTTCACTTAGGAAAAAATGTTTTCCTTTGTGTGTTCTGATTTTGTTCCCTTTCAGAATTTCCTCTCTGTTTGTTCTTCTCTGCTCCTTATTCTGCTTTTGTAGAAAATTAAAAAAAATAAAAATAAACACAAACAAGTTGCCATTGAATCGATTCCAACTCATGGCAACACGATGTGTGTCAGAGTAGAACTGCGTTCCATGGGATTTTCAATGACTGTGATCTTTTGGAAGTAGATTGCCAGGCCTTTCTTCCAGGGTGGCTCTGGGCAGATTCAAATGCTTAACTGTTTGTGCCACCTAGGGATTTCTTATAGGAAACAGAGAGGAGGAAATAATGAGTAGATTGAAGTTAGTGGTCAAGCCTTTTCACACAGGATTCAGTTTATTAGGATGGTTTGAGTGGGTTTAACTACGCTTTAGGTATATTTTTCCTACAGAGAATTAAAAAATTCAAGGGTACAGAATTCTTATGAATTCATAGCTGCCCTGCATAACAAAGGGTAGCCACTGGTGCTGACCAGCATAAAAATAGAACCTCCTCTCCACCAAAAGTCAGGGAGTATTGTTAAGGTGTAAGCAGAGGATACAAGGTAGAGGAAAGTACAGGGGAGCAGAACAAGTTGAGTTATATGAAATCCCATCACTCAGTGCTTAAGAACATTCCAGTTTAGGTAGCTATCCTCAAAAACCTGCCTTACAAGCTATTAGCTGTTTCCTGGGCTGGTCACATGCCTTCTGTACACACAGGAAAGCAACTTCACATCTTCTACAGATCCTTAAACACCCTGCACATTATCATTCTTGTCTGTGCGGATGCAGATTAAGAGCCAAAACATCACTATATACTGAAGTGTTTAGTATTATCCTGAGAATAGCAGAGCAAGAAAGAGCAAGTAGCAACTGATGCCATACATGTTATAACTTTATTTAATTCTTTTGCCTTCCACTCAACTCCTCATCTCCCTCACTTCTCAGGAAAGAAGTCATTCTAGGACCCTGGAAATAACCCTGTTCTGGAAGGTGGTCATTTTCTTGATGTTAAGTACAGCAGCAGGGAGAGTATGGTCACGCAGTTTAAAAGTTATACCAAGCATGTTGGTGAATGGAAACGAGGGCTTTGTGTATTTGAGATGAAGTCTTGCCAGCATTGCTTCTAAGGAGTATTCTTGCTGTACTTCCTTCAAGACATATTTGTTCATTCTTCTGGGAGTCCCTGGTATATTCAATATTTTTCTCCAATGCCACAATTTAAATGTATCAGTTCTTCTTTAGTCTTCCTTTTTCATTGTCCAGCTTTCCCACACATATGAGGTGATTGAAAAGACCATGGCTTGGGCCAGGCCCACCTTCATCATTATAGGGACATTTTTGCTTTTTAAAACTTTAAAGAGGTTTTTTGCAGCAGATTTGCCCAATGCAATATGTCATTTGATTTCTAGATTGGTGCTTCCCTGGGTGTTGATTGTTTATCCAAGAAGAATAAAATCCTTGACAACTTCGATTTCTTCATCAATTTATATAGTACTCCTATCTAATGTTATCTAACCTGCTGCCCATATTCTAAGTTTGTGAATTGATCCAATAATGTCTTTTGTGGCATTTTCCCTCTTTCTTTCAGAATCCAGCCTAGAATCGGGTATTCCGTTTAGTTATCAAGGCTCTTTAGCATCATGTAATCTGGATCATTTCCTTAACCTTTCTTTGTCTTTCATGATATGAACATGTTTAGGGAACACAATTTCTTTTCTTTTCTCTCTCTCTCTTTAATATAACATTTCTAATATGGAGTTGTCCAATGGTCCCTCTTGATTAGATTCAGGTCGTTCATTCTGATCTGAGTAGTGTGTAAGTGGTGTTGAGGCCTTCTTCAAAGTACTTCCTAATCTGTGCTGTCTTGTTGAGCCGCAAAAAAAGAAGAAATAGCCTTTTGCCTCCTGCTCGCCACCCAACCACACAGCTCTGAGCCTGAAAGGGTGTTGCAACACAGTTGAATAAACGGTTTTTATGTGGGATTGTGTGAGCATTCTGTGAGTGGGGAGAGTCAAAGGAGGCATTATGCTAAAGCACAAGATCGCTTTTTACCCGACTATAACATAAAACTTCAACAAGTCTTCAAACTTTCCCAAGGCAGATTTATAGAAAGTAGAGAGTTATAACACTTCTGATAATTAAATGGCAGTCCTAAGAGATCAGCCATGTCTTCAGAGACCTCATTGCAAGACCACTAATAATAATGACACTAATGTGTTTTGGTTACACTTAGCAATCTGGATGTTTAATGCACTTCAACCATTTGTTCCAGGTCACCAGAGGTTAACAAGGTAGTAGTGAATATAAACATAATTGTGTTGGAAAAGAGAGTCCAATAAATCAGACAGAATTTATTGGTAATTTCACACATGATGTGTTTTAGGCTAAGGTCCCAGTTTGAAGAGCAAGGGCAAAACCCCATCAATAATCTTTACTTTCTTCTAGGAGCAAGCCAACACGTGTTGAATAAACACATTAGTACTCACTGTTGTGTTTGAAGATCCTTATGGTTGCACCTGAGAGTCGGGCCCCAAGAACAAGAGATGTGTGGTTTAGCTCGTCACTTAAAATGAGGCATCCCTGTGCAGAACACAAGCACATAAAACAAAAGCGCATAAGTAAAATCAAAGAAAAATAACTTGTGGGAATAGGAAAATACTCTAAGACCGATAGCACAGATTCCCAAAACCCTCCTTAATTCTAAAAGGCCAAGAGTTTAACGTGGTGTCTATGGGGATAAAATCCATAAAGCAATTAGCTGATGGAAATGGGAAGTGTTTGAAGAAATTATATCTTTGCTTAAGCATTTACATCAGGGCTTCAAACTGGTTCATTCTGGTTCCAACCTCTGCTGAGAATTTGCATTTCTAACAAATTCCCAGATGATGCTAATGCTGCTGATTAGAGAATAATTCTGAGAACCACTAGTAAAGCAGTGGTTCTCAAAATTTAGTATACATAAGAATCACCTGGGGATCGTGTTAATATGTAGATTCTGATCCAGTATATCTAGGGTGGAAATACAAATTCTCAGCAGTGGTTTGAAGCCCTGATTTACATGTAGTTTTCTGCAAATATGCTAATCCAAGATCTGGGTTAAGCACTAGTAAGAGTCAAAAGGATCAATGTTTGACAGGAAAACTAATATAGTTCGGGTGAACTTGCTGGAGCTCTTCAGTCAAATGCTGGATTCTTTGGGATGGTTTTGGTGTACTACTACTAGAAGGTAGGGGGATTGATCAACTGGTCTTTTCTGCAAGATATTTCAAGGTACTGTTTTCTGATTCTTGTTCTCCACTGCATTAATGTTCCACATAGAGAGAAGCATCACTACTTTATAGGTAAAAACTTTGGATTTTGAAAAGTACGGACAACAACTCAATTTGAAGTAAGTAGAAAAATTCAGTCTAATTTAATGCTTATAAATCACTGTGTGTGAAAGTATTTTTCTTTTTTAATTAAAAAAATTGAAATTATAAAATCATTCAAGCATACCAGACATGCTTCTGCATTTTTATAAAATTCTGAAGTATACAATATAAAAATATTATTTTTATAAAATTATAGTAGACATTTATCTTTCATGGCCACCTAGAATCTTTGAATTCTACCTTATATTTTGGTAATTTCACACATGATATGTTTTAAGTTTTTGAAACAAATGCTGACAAAATTTCCACATCTCCAAACTTTAAACATATGTGTGTGTGTGTGTGTGAGTGTATAATTTTTTTGGGAAAACATTTGAAAGCTACTCATAAATCTCATGATATTTCTGCTCTAAATTCTTTAGTATGTATTTCCTAAGAATAGGGCCATTCTCTTACAAAATCACAATGCAATTATCATACCCAAGAAGTTCAGCATTTATACAATATTATCATCAAATATCCATCACCCATCTGTCAGTTTGTTGTACTGTGGTAGCTTGCATGTTGTTGTGATGTTGGAAGCTATGCCACTGGCATTTTAAATACCAGCAGAGTCACTGATGGTGGACAGGTTTAACAAGCTCCTAGACTAAGACAGACCAGGAAGAAAGACCTGGAGACCTACTTCCAAATACAAACCAATAAATACCTTATGGATCAGAAAAGAATATTGTCTGACTTGTTTGCTTTGGACATGTCATTAGTAGCAATCAATCGCTGGAGGAGGACATCATATTTGGTGAAATAGAGGGCTAGTGAGGGCGTGGGAGATTCTCAGTGAAATGGATTGGCATAATAGATGCAACAATGGTCTCGAACATACTATTAATCATGAGATGATGCAGGACTGGGCAGTGTTTTGTTCTGTTGTACATAAGGTTGCCATGAGTCAGAGTTGACTCTATGGGATCTATCATTTAATACATAGTTCAAATTCAAATTTCTCTAGCTGTCCTAATAATGTCTTTGGTGGCTGTTTTCTTTCCTTCTTTTTTTTTTTTTTTTTTAAATGCAGAATCCAGTCAAAGATCATGCGTGGCATTAAGTTATCATAAATCCTTTTTTTAAAAAATCATAAATCTAATTATCACACTTGCTTACTTAAAATGAATTAACCAACTCCCCATTTTTCTCAGGATGAATTCCAAATACTTTAGCACGATTTACACTATAAGGCCTTCATCTCTGGTCTCTTCTTCCACCAGTATCCTATGTTCTAGTTCCTCCAAACCTCTGTGGTTTGTGCATTGTACTACCTTTTCCTCATCCTATGGAAATAACTTACTTATCTGATAAGATTCTATTCTAATGTTCCTTGCTTTGCACAGGCATCTCAGACTTCAACAAGCAGAGTTTGGGGCAACTGTTTTGTCCTTCCCCATGTATGTGCATACCTTTTTTTGTAGCATTCATCTTATTTTATGTAATGTGTTATTTCTGCTACTAGACTATAGACTACACAGTTTGCAAGACGTAGATGTTGTCATCTTTGTATGCCCTGTATCTTATCTTGCCTCATATCAAGACAGAGGAGATTCTCAATATGTGGTTTATTGATTGAATAAATGAATGAATGACACTGGCAAAAGGTTTCATGCCAAGTAAATTCTTAATAAGTATTTGTTGGCTACACTGGAGCGCTGGTGGCCCAGTGGTATAAGCATGTAGCTGCTAACTGAAAGGTTGGTGGTTCAAACCCACCAGCTGCTCTGCAGGAGAAAGATGTGGCAGTTTCCTTCCATAAAGATTTACAGGAGGCGGGGCCAAGATGGCAGAGTAGTCAGATGCTTCCGGTGGATGCTCTTACAACAAAGACCCGAAAAAACAAGTGAATTGATCATATATGGCAATCTGGGAGCCCTGAACATCAAAGGCAGAGTTGAGGAACCGGACTGAGTGGCAGGGGGAGGGAGAGACGGTTCAGAAGCAGTGAGGAGTTGCTAGACCTGACCCGCGAGAGCCTGAGCCCTTCAGGCCTGATCAGCTCACGGGTGACTGGTGAGGCAGGCAAGCAGCAGTGGTTGGAAGGCGTGTTTTCTGCACTGGGAGAGACACAGTGCCAGAGGGTCTACACAGCCACCCAGAACCAGTGAGAAGCAGCCCTGGATCAGGGAAAGATAAGTGATTGCATACAGCCTACTGCGCAGATCAAAAACACCCCCCTTAGGGAAAATCCTCTCTCCCATTTACCTCCCCACTCCCTGCTCTGCACTGGGTCCCAGACTGGCTTCAAAAATTTCCAAGTCCCCTGGGCTGGAAGTAGGATCCGTCGCAAGCCTGGGGCCATTCTCCCTGCCTTGGAGAGTGAAGAAATTAACAAACAGAGGAAAAAATAAACTGCCGGCTCCCCTAAGCAAGGAAACCAGGGTAGGCATAGCTCCTTTGCCTAGGCACAGACATAAGGGATCCATGGACTTTGAGTGCCTTTCCCCCTGCATAGACTTGTGTGGGCCCATCTCAACAGCGTAGGTATTCACCTGAAGTCTAACTTCAACTGTTTCAGTTGTGAAGTGGCAGGCTCTTGACATTTGACACTACTCTGCCCATTAAACAGGGGCTTCACATACCTACATCAAGGGCCTGAGGAATCGTGGCTCCACCCATGCCAGCCAGCCAGCTGCAATAGGGGCCCATGAATAAGAGGTGCCCCCCAGTCCTTAAAGCCAACAGCATTAGGAGCTTATAGTCCAGCTGCAAAACTCACCCACCTACGCGCTCTAGGGAACAGGGACACGCCTTCCTCCTGGACACTCAGGGGTGGTTGTTAGCTGCCTTCTTTGCTCACAGCATGTTCCCCTGCTGCAGCCAGATGCCTGTGCCTACACCAATCACCCATGCCTGTCTAGGACTGTAAGTGAGAGACTACACCACACACTTGGTGGCTATCACCTGGGTACCTGAGCTGAATCCATACAGGATGAGGGGGTGGACTCCTGAGCTCACATACCTAGTAACAGATCTAACCACCTGGTGACAGGACATTAGAGCTTCAAAGGCACCAATAATCAAACTAGCTCATACGAGCAGCTTTTTGGGGCATATCAAAACAAAACAAGAAGCTAGGACATAGTAAACAAACATAAAATAAATAAATATAATAACTCATTGATGGCTTGGAGACAACAGTCAATATCAAATCACATAAAGAGGCAATCCATGATGGCTTCAGCATGCTCCCAAAATAAAGAATTTAGAAATTTTCCAGAGGAGGAAAATTTCTTGGAATTACCAGAGGCAGAATACAAAAGATTAATATACAGAACTCTTCAAGAAATTAGCAAGGAAATTAAGCAAAACTCAGAACATACAATAGAGGAAATTAAAAAAGATTAGAGAAGAGCATAATGACAAATTTCACAGGCTGCAAGAAACCATAGAGAGACAGAAAACAGAAATCCAGAAGATTAACAATAAAATGTCAGAATTAGACAACTCAGTAGAAAGTCAGAGCAGAACTGAGGTAATGGAAGTCAGAATTAGTGAGATTGAAGATAAAGTACTTGACTCCAACTTATCTAAGGGAAAAAATCAGATAAAAGGATTTAAAAAAATGAAGAAACACTAAGAATTATGTGGGGCTCTATCAAGAGGAATAACCTACGAGTGATTGGAGTACCAGAACGGGGGGATAACAGAAAATACAGAGAGAATTGTTGAAGATTTCTTGGCAGAAAACTTCCCCGATAGCATGAATGACAAGATTTCTATCCAAGATGCTTATCAAACCCCACGTAAGGTAGATCCCAAAAGAAACTCACCAAGACATATTATAATCAAACTTGCCAAAACCAAAGATAAAGAGAGAACTTTAAGAGTGCCTACGGATAAATGAAAAGTCATCTACAAAGGGGAGTCAATAAGAATAAGCTCAGACTACTCAGCAGAAACCACGCAGGCAAGAAGGCAATGAGATGACATATATAAAGCCTTGAAAAAAAAAACTGCCAGCCAAGAATTATATATCCAGCAAAACTGTCTCTCAAATATGATGGTGAAATTGGGCATTTCCAGATAAACAGAAGTTGAGAGAATTTGCAAAAAGCAAACCAAAATTACAAGAAATACTAAGGGGAGTCCTCAGGTTAGAAAATCAGTAACATCAGATAACAATCCAAGACTAGAACACAGGACAGAGCAACCAGACATCAA